GGTGGTAGATAAAACAGTCAAAAAACATATATCTTACATTAGAATGAAATTCTAAAGCAGAAGTAGAATGCAAACGAGTTCAAGGTCATATAAAATATCTTGCTGTTACCAAATAATTTGATCGTATAATTTATAAATTATGGTACCAAATTCATATTCCAAAAGGGCCAATGTGTGTGTCCATTTTGTTTTTTAAAATGTCATATGGTGGGATTTCCACCCTTACAACTATTTCAACTAACTATAAAAATATATCAAATGCCAATTTTAAAATGCGTAAGGTTTTAAAAATGCTTTTGGAGTGGACCCTTGCAGGAAAAAGGAATTGGGAGGGGGGGCCTTCCAGCCGCTGTGACGAAGTACACAGAGTGACTCCACGCCCCCACACACACGGAGCCCCACCCGCCCAGCCTGCCTCTACTCACTTCTTTTGGAGACGTGATTTGCAAAAACACAGTATCGAAGAACCAACGACGAGACTATATTTGTCTACAACAGTTAACTATGACGTGGAGCAACCCTATTTATGTGTCCTGTATTCAAATCAAGGATAGGAGTTCTCAGTTTCTGGTAGGCTCAAACTCTTTGCAACGTCATCACTGGGAAAGTCACATGCAAATTAAGGGATGGCGACTCCTTTTCTGATTGGCTATCGTCGCCATCCAATCGGACAGCGCTAGCTCATCTACCTCGGGTTCCTATATAAAAGACTGGCGGCCTGACAGTCTCGTTATTTTAGGTTCTGGATCTTGTATTTTTCAGGTTCTATTTGAGCGCCGTCAGCTTGCAGCAAGCATGAAGGATAAAGCGCGCGCGCCAAAGCTAAGTCGCGCTCCGTTTTGCGCAGGCCTTCAGTTTCCTGTGGGTCGCGTTCACGGCTTGCTCCATAAGGGCATCTACTCGGAGCGCGTGGGCGCTGGCGCCCCTGTGTACTTGGCAGCAGTATTGGAATACTTTACAGCAGAGATACTGGAGCTGGCGGGTAATGCGGCCCGGGACAATAAGAAAATGCGTCATTCCTCGTCACCTGCAGCTGGCCATATGCAATGACAAAGAGCTCAACAAGTTGTTGGGTCGATTGACCGTAGTTCAGGGCGGCGTCCTGCCCAACATCCAGGCCGTGCTGCTGCCCAGGAAGACTGAGAGCCACCACAAAGCCAAGGGCAAGGGAAGCTGCGGAGTGGGCGGGGAACGGCCTTGCGCCTAGGGGACTCGGTGACACCAAGGCTCTTTTAAGAGCCACTCACAGTATCGAGAAAATAGCTGCATTAGCGTGTTCTTGTGCGTTACGGGAGAAGGTCGGGCAGTGCCTAGGCCGCCGCAGGCTCCGGGCTTTGCTGCAGGGAGTGCTAGCCGGAAGTGCCACCGCCCTTTGCCGAGAGTCTCCCTCCAGCTCGCGGGATTTCAATACCACCCATCCCGAAGGTACTAGTGGTAATTTATAATTCCACATTTAGACATCGCGTATAGACTTTTAATCTGGTGTTAAATACTCGTAATCTTTAGAATTTGCCGTTTCAAGTTCTGATAAACTACGGTCTCCATTTAAAATGTGAGTTGAGGTGGTAGTTTGTAGAGATCATAGGTAGAGTCCATCGGAACTACAGATTTATTGGGTTGGAAATTCTAAAATCTTGAGGTTTGTTTCGCTATAGGTGTTTTCGGTATTGATAGATTTTTAAAGGGGGTATAAACTTTTTAAGGAAACCATAATTGATTAAAGGAATTTGTCAGTTTGGGATGGTCAAAGAGCCTCTTAAATTGTTAATATCGGAATAAAATAATTTGTACAGAGTTTGATAAAGGAAACTAGTTTTGTGAACTTAGTAAATGTAAAGTGACTATTATTAGGGCCAGATGATGTATTTCCGTGGCTGCTTCAGAAGATAACTGTTAACTTCACATTCTGCTATAAAGCTGGGTTGGAGTTCCAGAGATGCTCCTGCAAAATCAGCTGAAAAACGGGAATGTAAATGGCACCTACTTTATGGAGGGGCTAAGTGAGTTGCTGAGTTGCTCCTAGATAATCCCTAAAACAATGCCTGGCACAAAAAAAGACTTTGGCACTTGTTTTTCCTGTCATTATCATTGTTATTGTCATTAATATTTTATTATAAGTATAGGCAGTAAGACAATATTCAGAAATATAATTGTTATACTAAAATTAAGTCTACTAAACCAGGGCTCTCTAGAACCATCTGGAGCTAGCCAGCCATCTGCTATTCTTTAGAACATAGCCCAGCACCACAAAACTATTCCTGCCAAAGACCGATAGGCAATTGCTGTTTGTATGGATGGAAACACTGGACTCCCTGCAGCGTGGGAAGGAAGAAAGTGGGCCCAGCGGCCCAATTGCAGGAAACAAACTGCCAAGGACCATTCTAGACTCCAGTGCCTTCTTGAGGAGCAGCCAGTATGTTTCCAGTGATGGCCTTCAGTTTTCGTGTACATTTTCATTCACATGTTGATACCAATATAGGTCATCGTATCCCTCACATCCTTTGGAGGTACTGAAGGAAGCCTTTTCTGGGGCAGGGGCTTAGGCATTCCAAACATTAAGATGGAGCTTCAGGTTGTTGATTTAATTTCTCAAGTATGGTGTCGGGAGGGAAGCTGGGAGGT